ATTTGTCGGAGAAAAACATGTTGACACTAAGGCGGGTAAATGGATTCAAGTTATTTAGAGCTTTTGTTTTCAATACACAAGCTTATTAACGTGCCTTGCGCTATTCTGTATGGGAGTCCCTAAACAATAATATACAATAAAGGTCCTAAAATGAACGAGTTTGTAAAAAAAAAAACAATAAAACACAAAAGGAGATTTATTAGTAAGTAACTTAATATAATTCTTAAGTTCGGAATAGTCGGACCCATAAGAAAACTATTGTTCTGTTGCCGGTAAGTCGTTTGTTATTGTCATTGTCGACCGGCAAAAAACTACAGGTAACGGAAAATAAAGTAAAAACTACTTTAGTATATTGCGCAAGCAAGAGCTGTTACATTGCGAGGTCAATGCGTAATGATAACAAACAGGCACGAAGGGGACAAAAAAGTTTTTTTAACCCAGTAAAATGTATTTACTTAAGAGAAGACCAAAAAGGTGTCGAGGAGAAAAACTACAGTAAATCTCGAAATCATTTTACGATGACAACTGAGAACACAACTATAAGGATAGACGCTGTGTTGAAATATTTGTTTTTCGGCATTACTCGGCCATTATTAGCAGTGTCATCTTCGGTGTTAAATTATACAAAGTTATTCAACTTTACTAAGTGCGAAGAACTACGGAAAAAGAAGCCAATTAAGTTGTTTTCTTTTTGGCACAATTACATTTTTGGAAAACCTGGCAGCCAAATCTCAGATTTAAACTAAATTATTTAGTTTTCGTTATAAAACAATATTCATGTCTTTGTTGGTATAGTAACTTTAAGAAATAAAAATGTATGTCTTTTAATATTAAAATATTAAATTTAATAATTAAATAAATATATTTTTGAAATCTAAAAACCATGTTTAATCATGTATGGATATTGTAGTTAAAACATAATATGTGGGGTGTGATCTTTACTTAATACATTCACCTACATTAGTGTTCAAACCAAATTTGATCTTCTTACCAAATCTTAGTGCCAGCCAAAGCTATCAGATATGTTTACTATTTAGATAATTACTGACATGACGTGAGCACTACATTAGAACATCAAGCATTGCATACCTATAGTCAACTTTTTAAAACAGAATTTTGATTATATATTATTATGATCATAGACTAATTAACATAGCGCATGCAATGGTTATCTAGTCAGTAGTCACCACATTGTGGCACACCGTAGCAGGTAACTAATAATTAGATAGTTACTAAAACAATCAATAACAACTATTTAATCAAAACCATAATTAATTTTAGTTGTCACGAAGCGTTTACGGTTGTATCGATAGCACGTCGTGTTGATCATAAAAACATCATGCTAGATTTTTTTTGCCAGATTAATTTGGGTATTAAAACGGAATACACCTTACAGTTTATGACTGTATTATTACAAGTTGTTAATAATATTATAGTAGTGTGATAAATATCAAATTTGTTGGTAATTATTCTTGTTTAAACAACATACGGGTCGCATACCTACTTATTATTACACGCAATATGAATGATCAAAAAATATATGCTTAGAAATACACCAGGAAACCTCTTCCCTAGGGAGGGCACCGATCATGCCCTACATGGTCTGCTTATGTTGTTTCCAATTAGAATGTTACTTAGAATAGTTTTTAACGCAAATAAAAAATACACAATGGTCAGACGTGTATACACAATTTGTGATTGATAGATTAAAATATTTTTTAAAACGCAGTTTGTGTTTAAAATAACATCGCGATAAACTCGAAAATCCCACGTTATTTATTTAATTCAGAGTAATCATTTATTTAACGTTATTACGGTTAATAGAACACATTAATATGTCAATAATTGCTCCGAGGCAATAGAAGTATATATTAAGGCACAAAGAATAGTATATTATCATCATTAAACAATTAACAATATTAGGTTATCTAACGTTAGATGTATATTTATCCAAGATATATTTTCAGACAATCCGTCACGATAAAACTATTGACCAGATGCGCGGATGAACAAAATAAACATTTTTTAAATAATATGTTAAACATTAAATTTATTCAAGATGTTCCAATTAAACATTTATATATATAGTGAACGATAACAAAAAAAAAAATGTATATGTTATTGATTTATATATTAAAAAAAACAAGTACACCATAAATAACAATTTTTTTAAAATGTTTTGTATTACTAATTATTGTGATTAATTAGATAATATAATATAATGATATATAATTCTTCCTACAAATATGAATTCAATTAACTTGATTCAATTCTTACTCCTTACAACAAATAAAAAACTATGATGTGTCCTAAGAAATCCTAGTAGGTTACACTATAGTTCAATGTAGTTTAATAACGACTACGTTAGAGTTTACTACTAGGTTAAATACTAATATAAGCGATTAATCCTAATTAGGATCCAGGTCATTTACTTACAATTTATGTTTTAAAGAACCAAAACACTCGCTACATTATTGATAATGATCCCTTAATTTAATACTTGAAAATAAACAGAAAAAAAATTATTAAAGTTTATATTGATTGATAACTTTTTTTTAGCTTTACGTAAACATGAAACATTCTGTATTTACCACATTTGTACCTACCGTTAACTCTTATTTTATGCTAAATGGATGATAATATGAAATTCACGTCTTGCTATTATAGTTTATTGTATTAATAATGTGATAGATACAACTACTGACCAAATATAGCGTTAACAAATACTATTAACGCGCAGTAATCGTGTTGTGCTGTCTATAATATGATTTATGTATATCATTACCTTTGACTGATGTCAATTACCTTCTATTAAAATAAGTTTTACACGCCGAGTTTCGCGGCTATTCATTATTCATATCCATTTGCACAGTCTCTCTCTTTTGTGAACAAACACACATACACCTCGAACTACGATTAACGCGATTCATTGTCCGTGTGAATTGCACGAATTGCTTTGAATAGCTCTTCAATAATTGAATAATTGTATCCGTTTGGAGCATCTTACAGATGTAATTTCTGGTTTGAATACATTAAATAGACAGGATCTAATTTTCAGTCGAGATTCTAATATTAATATCGTTAACGTTTAGCAGCGTTCCGTTGAGTGCAGAGTAATGAATCTGAGTCAGAAAAATATGAATTCCACCCGGGGGACACACCGGCATCGTCGGTCAGCACTAATTGGACCAGGAACGTTTAAAAATAACACTTGTAAAACGCGTTATCTTGTAAATATTATTCTCGTTTAAAAGCACGTGTGTGTAATTGAAAAGAGGCATTTTCAAAGTCATTAAATTGGGGGAAAATACAGAGATATAGGAACGTCGAAAGACTTACTATGTTATTAACAAACTCGATAAACGTGTTGGTTTTTTTTTCGCTCGCGCCTTCGAATCAGTCGGCTTTCGTCGGATTGAAAATGCATTGCACAACGTACACGCCCGTTTGTTATTGTTATGCACGCGTACATAGAAATTACAAACATATGTAAAATCAAAATGTAAACAATCAATCGACGGGTAAAACGCCAACAGCAGATCCGCCGAGTGACCGTTTGCACGCGCATGCCGTCGGGTAGTAAACGCCAATAATAACAAAAAACTATTTTCACAGATCCCTTTTGCAACTAAATGACGGTTCGCAGACTGTGGAAAAAATCCATCAGTTAATTGTAAAAAGTATTATAAAAAAAGAGGCAGTTTAGTGTGTACGGAGCATATGTATAAATCGGAAAGGTCACAGGTCTTCAGGAATTAATATTAATAAATATATTAAACCGTTTTGTTGACAATAAATGTGTTTATAAATGTGCCATTTGATTTTCGGGTAATCTACATAAAAATAATATAAATGCAGATAAAAAAAAAATAATAATAACCTACTATGTATTTTATTGGTATCTAATAAATATTTTTACTGAACGATTTGGAAATTTATAGTGTTGTAAAATATCCAATAGAGATACCTAAATATTTAAAAAAACACGTCTTACGTTAAACTGATAACGCTGCATGCATGTAAGTGTATAGAATATCAACATGCCAACTGTTTTTAATTTATTAATAATTCATTTTTTTGGAGTAGATTTTTTTTTATATTTGGGGGTTTCCCTTGTAGAAAAAATGTCTGACAACGATTTTTGAAAAAAATTGTTTATGTTATAGATTTTTAGTCTAATTCTAATATCTGAAGTCCAAAATTGACGACTAAAAAACAGAATAACCCATACAGGATGGACTATTTAAAAAAAGCTATTCCGTGCCGTTTTGAAGGGGAAGGGGTGACCTTTTTTTATTTTTGGTCCATTTGAAGTAAACTTTGGAGATGTTCTGATCTATATACTTGCTACATGAAATAATCGGTTCAGAGGCTTAAAACATATTGTGGGCCACACAAAAATGGGGTGGGGGAGAGGGGAAATAAAAACCCATTTAATATGCTGAATAATATTAAAAATTCTATAATTTAATTATAATATCGAGAGTTTAACATCGATTAATCGATGGTAGTATGAAAGATCCTATAATAATAATAATCCTATCATGGCCATAACGTCCTAGTGAGGCTACGCCGGTATGAGGACTGTACTCACACTCGTACTCGCGATAATAACAATAATATTATTATATATTGTACGGTTCGTTAAACGTTATATAGTGTTTTTCTTCGAGAAAAAAAAACCATCTGCGCCCGTTCACCTCTCACCTTACCCTAGCCCCCTCCAGCCTCGTCGGTAGAGTCGTCGACGACCCGGGGTACACGCTTACGAGACGACGTCTGCGGGGTCTCCTCCGGTCCACCTAAACAATGTGCGCGTATATGTGTGTATATAATGCTTGTAATATACATACGTGTATATATGCGCGGTACACATATTATTATTATTATGGACGGTTGCTGTGGTGGTGGTGCACACGTTCGGTTTCTGACCGTTTTCATGCGGCAGACTCGTTTCCCGAACGATTTCGAATCGCCTCGTTAACCGGGTGAAATAATATATCGGCGACGGACGGCGGACCAGAAGGCATCAGACAAGGCAGTCGATCGCCGGGTGTCCTCCAGTTAGCACGGTCGTCGTCGCCAGTGCACCGTGCGCCGCGGTCTTTACAACTGAAGTTATCCGTTTGTACCTATCTCGTTATCAACGTTAATTATTACCGAACCGTTTTTCGATAGTTTTCAAACGACTACAGACCGTGTTTAAAGGTGACGGTGTGCGTTTATCGCGTTTTAAAGGTTCGCTGCTGGAATTTAACGTGGAATGGACCAAGGATACCTACGTATATGATAAAAATACACTGTCCATCGACCATCGATGACACGGATCGGTGAGTTTCGGTTGAATTTTTATCATTAGCCGCGGGAATCATTTTTTTTTTTCTAATTACAAAATCTGTTATTGTCCATTTTTATTTTGCATTTAATCCCTACGGTTCCGTAGATTTTGGATAACCATAACTTTTGCCGCGTTAAATTTTGTTTTCTTAAACCGGTTTGGTTTTCAACCAAAAGTTTTCCATGACAAATCAACAGGTCTCCTGTTACTCGTGACGAGTTATTTATCAAAACAAGTTAATAACATTTAAATATTGGATAGTAATTATTAATATCTATACATATTGTAGTATCCGTTAATATTAAGGCGGGAAAGTTGGACTATGTTCGTAGTGTACTGATTAAGCGTATACTATATAAAAAAGTATATTTTGACACTTTTACAAACCCACGTTTTGTTGTTATAAATATTATTATGTATTCTGAAGTATTTATTGGGAGTTCTCGTTAGCGGTCAGTATTTTGTAAAGAGGTCGTAAAAAACTCGAGGGCGTTTCACAGTTATAACTTATACTACATTACTACCCACCCGATGACTTGAATGTTATTGAGAGAAAAAATTAGTTATCTTACCGGTATTACACAAACGTTTGTTTATGTATGTATATTATATGCCAATACCACATAATATATTATGATCTACACGTTATACTTACTAAACGAATATCTTTTTGCGATTCATTAAAAGCTAAACTAATAGTTAGTATATAATAAGTATAATAATTTATTATAATACGAGAGAAAGTTGTGCTGATAATCCCAAAGTAAACTTTAATCGTTTCCAAAGTTATGTCTAATAAGATAATAGATATAATAATATGATAAGCAAAATGAACAACACATTATCGATTGCCGTTCGTAATTGTTGCAGCCAACAACTTTGGCTTAAATTTATTTCATGGATAGATATTACCTGCATATTAGGCCTCTCAAATATAATAACTTTTCCGTTAATGAAATATTATAGAATGGTTATAATAATAACATCCATAATACTTTTACAACTCACCGAAAATACCCCTACTCGGGGACAATTCAATTGTTATTAAATTAAATAGAAATAATTTTATATATATTTTTTCTTGTTAGCCAATATCCTATATCATATTATAATATTATGATGTCCTGCAACATCACAATCATTTTTACTTATTAAACACGCATTGTTATCATTTATAATTTGTCTTCCATACATATTTAATTTAAATACGTGTACATTTTTTTTTTGTGTGTACAATAAACTGCAACCTAATGTTGAATTTCAACGACTGGCTCTCTGTGTAATTCAGTTGCGAATCTGTGGACACATAATAAAACAATAATTCTAAGTAGGTAGTTACATAAAAAAAGAATAACAAAATTAGAAACAATACACGGTACAAATTACAATCAACGGGGTCGTGAATTATTATAACCGGCAATCATCGGCGGGCACCGGTATAATATTCTATTTAACAGAACCCTTATAAATAATAGATGGTCGTGCAACGACATGGTACCCTATAGACCGGTCGAAAACAAACACACGAGTTATGTCTAGCTATATATGTTGTTTACGGAGTTTTATTATAGCCGAAAGACTTGGCATCAGATAATTATATTATACCTATATTATGTATCGGTCGTTTATAAAAAAAAAAAAAACACCCATACGCACGAGTAATCAAAATGTCAATAATCAATGGGATACTGTAAAACTTATTAAAAAAAAAAAAAATAGTATTTAGCCATGTATGGATAGCGTTTGTTCAAAATTTTACTTTAGGTCCTACGTATTATTACATATATTATATTTGCCTATATATTTCAGCGTTAAAAAAATGTATACAAATTGTACTGTATGCAATATTTCTGTTTTATATTATGTGAAAAGCCAATATTGATAATTTACAGTTTTTTGAGACTTCTCTAGGTCAACACCAACCTATAGGCTATAGTCTCCTCGATAAATGCTTACACAATGTTTTAATACAGCGGTTCCCAACCTCTGAATATTAAAATTTAATATGTACTGCACCAAATTTTAGGCATTACAGAGGGGAAGACTAATGATTTTTTTCTTAAAAATAACTGATAATATATCATGGGAAACAACGAGTATTGAACCAATGAAGTTTGTGTTTTGTTGTATACATACGGACCAAAACGTTGTAACATCCGACACCCGTCGTCCGGTGGTTAATTGTAGAATGACATGTCGTTGGGGTTTTCAAAGCACCTACTTGTCAATCTTCACTTCCTGTTTACGATTCGGATTACAACCCTTTTTAAACCTTTTATGTCTATACCGCCGTTTATAGTTTTGTCATTTTCGTAGGCTCCCTTCCGTACCTGACATTTAATTTGCACAGATGGTATACCAGAGTAAATGACGTAGGTACCATTATTATTATATTACCCGTATAATAATAATAACCAGTCGAGCTATTGCGTTATAACTCGTTTATACTTAAAGCGAGAGTGAGAGAAGAAAAAAAGATAGGTGGGTTATTGAACGTCGAGTTAGTTTGATGTATTTATCTGTCGTATATTTATGTACAATTATACATGTTGTGTGAAAAAAACGGGCGATACGATAAAATTCTATATTGCTATTTGATGTAAACATTATTTTTATCTCTTCGTGATCGCAGTAAAATACGATCGTGGCTTTTAATGGACGTAGTAAAAAAAAAAAAAAACACTACCACGATCGACTTATACTTTTTGAGATCAGAACTCGACGCGTTTCAGTGTAGTATACTATATTATACTCGAAATCAGTAGCTGTACGCGTAGACTATAAAATTATACGATCCTATTCTACGCGATTTTAAACGTCGACTATTGTAAACTATTGTGTTTTTAGGTTACTCGAGACTGTCCGTTAGGCGCCTTGGGGGTTTATTTTATTTTTCAACTGGCAAACAGTACATACGTAATTATACTATGTGTATACTTTGAGTATATGGTGGTTTTGTCGTTCATTATCGCTATACGGGCGTTCGACGTTTAATCTCGACAGTATCAATACATACCGGCAACGATAAAAACAAGTTAACGTGATAAATATTATCCCTTAAAAAAGGGCTTAAAACTGTATACGTCGTTTTTGGTATTAAGTCTTTGTGTACAACGAGCGTGTCGGGCGTCGGCCAAGGACCTATCACTAAGATAAAGCCGAGAAATCTTGTCGCGAGATAAGCTCCCGGGCAAGTGTTTACGCGGAGTAACGCGTTTCTTTTCGTTTACCGTGTACAGTATAGAATGGGAATTGGGAAGTAAAGGAGTCCTCAGGATAATTACGTATTCACTCTATCCGCCAGCTTGTTAAAGCGTTGGCCGATTGTGTTCTTTCTTATAAGCATGACAATTGACAAATACACACTAATAACTCAAACACAATCACTGGTGTTAGAACGGGGGAGAGGGGAAATAGTACACACACCAATCCTTAAAAACGTGACAGGTAAAGAAACTTGTTGTTCGAGAAGAAAGAGAGAGAGAGAGATAGAGTGAGAGGAAAAACATTTTACAAATGATTCCTAGACAGCTGTCACCTCGGTATGACGAAGGTACGCCACACCGTACATTCCGAATGGGCTCTCGCGGTCCCTATAGGGAGGGGGGGGCTTCTTTTTATTATTATATTATGTTGTTATTAAATTCGTCTTCCCCGTTGTCCGCCCTCTCGAGGAAAATAAAGAAAATACCGAAGGAAACTCATTTGACGTGTACGTTTTTCATCAGACGCCAATATAATATCACCGTTTGTAGTTTAGGAATCATTTGTGTACGGCCATGAATATATAAAACGAAACCACTGTGTCCGAGATGATTAATGGCTATTGTATAATAGTGTTTTTTTTCATTCGTTATTCCCCTCGTGACAGCTGTAAACGTTTGTTGTTATGACGTCTTATATCACTTAACCTTATCTATCAGTATCACACAATGAGGTCTCCCGCGTTCTCTCATTCCGCGCGCTCGGGTTCCCGCTACACAACATATTTGAATAATAACAATTGATCGCAGTTTAAACGCCCAGCCAAATATCGAACGAGTTTAATCGTTTTCTAGTGGTTCCGAGAACATAGAATAAAAAACTAGAATAAAAAAAAAGAAAACATTTCAATTTCTGCCCTTGCCTGGGCCAAAACTATATTAAGTGTGTCGTAACGATTTTAAAAAAAAGGTCGTCAATGGCGTCTTTATAATATATATTATGAGCATGTAATATTGTAATATAATAGGGGGCAACACCCATGGTGGCCGCACTTGCCACAGAAAATATTTACATTTAACACAAAAAAATAGTATGTATTATGAACCAATACGTGTGTGTACAGCTCAGGTGTGTCGAGTCGATAAATCTCCAACAACCCTGTGTATAAAATTCCTCCGAAGGATAAAATCGAGCCCCCGAAGGATTCGGCCGTTACCACCACCCGTTGAGCAAGACGACCCGTCTGACCCTCGCACGGGATTAATTTATTAAACCAACAGTGAACAGACTCAGGCAACCGGTTTTCCGAAAACATGGTAAACACTGTAGACCGTGTCTCCTCCGTAGGCTTGGGACATTATATTATATCTCTTGCACCCGTCTGGCTCTGTCTCTTTTTTCCTATATCTTTATACATACACACACCACCAGCGTGACCTCCTCGCACACGGTTAACATTATACAAAAAAGATGTCAAAAAAAAAAAAATAATAACAACGACCGTTTTGCGTGTACAATAAAGCAGAAGAAAATATCGACTCCCTCGGTAAGGAAAAAGAATAATATTATTATAGTAACACTGGCCATTTGAATAACTGGAAACGAGCGTGACCCCTGCATAGTAGTAGACAATAGAATCGTGAATCAGATATTACCTGTGTATAAAAAAAAAAAAAATTGCACGCCGTTGCAATGGATCCCATATACTGGGCACTATAGTCCGTAATGCACCGGGTTGCGCCGATGCCATGATTGGCTTCTCAGATAAAGCCGATCGTGCGCCGCCACTGGGCTTAAAACACTAAGTAATTATTAATATAGTCGGTAGCAGTTTTCAATTTTGTTATTACTTATATTGAGTAGGTAAAAGAGTATACACGCAACGTCTGAAGAACAAATCAATACCTATTTATTAGGAAAATTATGTTAAAATTTAATTGTTGTAAAAAAAAAAAAAATACAATTTTACTTATAACTGTTTTACTCGTAATTCGTATTATGAACGAAATAGACAAATAGATAACGATGGATTTTCAATATAGTTTAATTTTCAGTCTTATCTTCCTGTTTTTTTTTATTTAACAGCAATTTTTCTGGTCGTGTCGGACATAGATGTTTAAACGTAACGTTCGGGTTCGTTAAACAAATAATCGTTTAAATCCACCCGTGTATGTGCGGTATGCTACGGCACAGTTGTAATGGAATTCATTCTGAATAATACACTCCTTAGTTAATGATCTAAAATAGATGCAGTGCGATCCAAAACATAGCATGAGTGTAACGCGTATTGCACGATGGTTATGGTAATAACAATATTGTGTGTATGTACCTGAACGTATGTAGATTATCATTTTTCATTAACGATAGTGTAGCATAACATAGGTATGGTAAAAAATAACAATTATTTTTTACACGCGCGATACCATTTATTATAAACTGATGATTGATGCATGAGGATTTCAAGTTTCTGGGTTGTCTTGATTTTTTAAAACAAATTGTATTAAGAAAATGCGTGAGAAACTCATATGTATTATATTTGTCGCGTTCTTGTTAATCCACAGATTAGCTCGTGCCTATGTTGAACCAGTTTAATGCGCACACGACTCGCTTCTCAAGTGTATAAGCGCGTATCAACTGTACGAATGTGTAGGTATTCCGAGTGTTTCGTTGCCTTCGACAAATTATCGCGTACCGATTGTGTTTTTTCTATTCTAGTTAATGTACCGAGGCAAGTCGTCGGTACCTCGGTCGCTGTGATTCACTATTCCATTGCAAATTCCAAGTTTTCGAGAGAGAAAAAACTCGCTTGTACCTATATGTATGTACACTCGGTCGCTGCAAGTTGTATTGTTACACAGACGACGTTGCCACAAATGAGATTGTCTGGTAGTTCGCTCGCTACCGGTTTTTGGTCGCAGTCTTGGGACGTCCCATATCGAATTTGCATACAACGGATGGAGCGAGAGAGAAACGGTAAAAGAGAGAGACAAGTCGTCCGGAATAATTCCAACATGCGTTTGGATGTAATATCGTTTCCATGAATGAAATCCGCGCGCGATTACACTATATTATTATATTGGAAATAGGTATAGATTTTTTCAATGCATGAATATTTTAGCATACCGCGACGTTGACGTGCTCGCTAACAATGGGTAACCGAATGGAAAACAAGACAGGTAGTTTGCGGTACAGGAGTCCGATTCAAAAGCGATTGCCAATCACAATCAATGTTTCCTGGACGATGAAATATGTACACATGGGTACTTCGGCTACTACGCTTACTGGTTTTACCTAAACGTTAGTCAAATCAATTCACGTATCGAGTCAGTTATGTTGTTGAAATCATTTAAAGTAGGTAAAACGCCCGCGTTGAAATCAAGCATTTTCAACGTTTGCGACAAGACGCAGATTATTTTATAATCGTATAAATCGATTCTATTAGTATTATTATTGTTATGGTACAGCGTTTGTATAATGTAGGTTCGTATACACATTATGGACGCGGTCATTTCCATATTATGATTTTTAATGGCGCAGACAAATTGGGAGGGTGGCTAATAGCTTCTACAACCGTGAAAGTACTGTTTGCTCCACATTATGCTGCTTATGTTTATTATTATTTAATTATTTTGTTGTTGATTTTTTTAATTATGAAACGATCCATCACTGAAGTCAGGAATTACTTGTTAAAATTATTACTGAACGTTTATAAACCGAAAAATAATGTATTTTGTCAGTGAGCTAGGGCAGCGTGGAGAAACGTAATCTACTTGTACAGAACAATTATTAAAAGCAGCGGGTTTCTACGTCGAACGCTAGTAAGTCGATAAGATATCAAAAACTAGGTTGTCGATCAAAACTCTGAGAAAAATATTGATGTATTATTCAAATTGATGGAGTCTCCCGTTCGTGATGTAGGTAGGTTTATCATGGGTAACACGTTAACATTATGCTAGTTGGATCGCAGCGGGTGGAAAACGTGAGATGTACAAGGCCCGATAAACCCACACACGGACGTCGGACAAGTCGATTTATTCGAAAAGAAATAACAATAACAATAAAAAGACACGGAGATCGTCTCGTACAGATATGGAAACGGTCCAGGACGTTCTGCCGTCCTGTGCAACGAGAATATTATTGAACACGACCGCTACAACTTAAACGGCGGCGGCGATGGTGTCGTGTTATCCAATATACACTTTATAAGTATAATATGTGTTGTACAAGACTTTTTATTATTTTTTGTCCACACTGCAATAGAGATAAACGGGCGCTGTTCCGTACGAGGTCCTTGCGACAAGCGTCTAGCAAGAAGCCCTCAAATGACCGGTTAGAACTGAGCCTATAGTCCAAGGGATAATGAGATAGTTAATTATTATTATCGTTGGTTGTTACGGGGTTCGTGTTGTCGAGGAGCGAATAATAATTCCATCGGTGGTGCGTCCATTACATTTTCTTCGGTCATTGTATGTGTGTGTTTTGTTGTCGCTATACTCGCGTCCATATAATATATAAATAATATTACACCTAGCCGATTTGTCACGCGAACCTATAGTGTTTATTATACTGTATAAAATATAGACACACACACACACAAACGCTCACACATGTAAGAGAGTTGAACGCACTCATCGTCGCATACACCAATTTTTTACGTGTATGTGTTTGTGTACGATTTTTGTACCAAGGAATCGATTCGTTTTGGGTAGACGTCAACCGCGTTCGATTTTCAACAGATCGGCCGAGGTACTATATTATGTTACATACTCGGTCACGTCTTTAATACATTTTATGTACGACGCGTCCGTATTCGGATGGAAAAGAGCCAGCCGAGTCATCATCAGTGGTTCAAGACGACTCGGTCATTCCACGTCATTACGCGAAATTCAACTCGATATTTGCTCTTATTGTTGAACGAAACGCGAGAGGGGTGTAAATAGAATCTCCGTGAATAGGTGAATTCGTAAAGGGAGAGGGTTTGTTTGCACACAGCTACAGTAGTAGTAGTGTCGAACGCAATTTCACTATCCACGTCCATATACCAATTGTGGGGACGATGAGAGGATAGTAGAGGATAATGAAGTTCCCATCGAGTTCGTTTGCTCGTGACGACGATTCGTCAGTTTTCAATCGTTTCGGTGTTTGGGCGGCCGCTGTGCAATTACCGAACCCCTTTCCGTATTTCTCCGTATCGCGCTCTGAGCTGTAGAAGCCCTGTTCGCGAATACATATATGCATTAGGCGGGAATTTGATTTTGCATCCCCTTCCCTCGCGCATACGTAATAATAGCAATCAACGCCCACGGTACCCATAAACCGGGTTTATCCGGAAAACCTTTGTCACTATATTTGTCAACAGCTCACCGTAGTAATGGATTCGGTCCGTCGCCTCTTAGTTTGCACACTGAACGTTTAAAGCATGTCAGTAAACAGAGAAACACGCTGTGTCCGACGAGATACATTAAACGTGTCATCTGTTTTTAAAACTACTGCCGATCGCGTATTTTGACACGTCTGACCTGCCCAAGACATTTTTACACAAATTTAAGGCGTGTTCGTTTCGGGTCACAGTAGTAATTCCACGAACCATTCGGCCCGGTTCACGTAAACATCACAGTATGTTTGGCATTCACGTTAAGCTAATAATCATAATAATAATAGTTCGAAAAGGCATCTTAAAGGCACACATAAAACAACAACCTAAATCATAATTTTCAAAACACAGGTGTATTGATGAGCTTAAGTTCTTATGGGGAATTATTATTAGAGTTATATGTAAGTCATACAAAGGACTACCAATATTAAAAGTATTAATTTTGATGTGTAATAAGCTAAAGCTTACATGTACATTTTATTATTTATGGGTTCTAAGGTTATTTAAATTAGTAGTTTATATTCTGTTTACTAATTCCCAATATGTAATTACTTCTTGTTATTCTCGGCTCTATTTCCTTTTAGACCTAATACTAGAATTCCTTATACTTGTTATTCTCAAATTCCGTACACACCTAAACACCTAGTAAGCTGATTTGCATATTACTATTTATGCTTACTATTCTCCTGTATTATAGTCAGTAAATTTCAATGAGATTTACTGTAACTGAGAATTCAGTTACAGTCAGATTATTGTCAGTGTTTGTCAGTATTAGTCAGCACTTAGTCCCTTCTTGCCAGTTATTTGATTTACTTAATTATTGTTTTATAATTGTATTATACATTTTGTTGTTATTAGTCAAATATAAAACTTATAAAAATATTTAAAAGTTAAAGTGTTAATTTATATAATTAACTTCCTATGTGATAAGTCCTGCTTACTACAGATATATTTAACTGTTAACGGATAGTGTTAGTTCATATTTGTTACTATTAAAATGTTTGTACAATCGAACTCGATTTGTAAATGAAATGTTATCATTAACCGTACCTCCCTGAGTTTGTTCTATACATTAAAACGTATTTAATTTAAAACGATCTAGTGTAATTTCAAACAAAATAAAACTTATTTGTTTTTTTTTTTTATTTTGTTTTAGGAGTTACGATCATGTTTTGGATTTCAAGATCGTCACGTTTCCTTTGTCAAGTTCGAGAGTAACGATATATATTTTTAATTGAACAAGTACATATATACCAAAGCTACAACCATGTCACCCGTCGTAACGTTGGCACTGTTATGCATCACCATCAGCTGTGTGTTATGCAACATGCAACCGGTACCGGTTACCAATGCAGCGGCCATTCCGGGTGGACGTTGTGAAGAAATCACCATACCCATGTGCAGAGGTATCGGCTACAATATGACCTCCATGCCGAACCCACTAAACCATGAAACTCAAGAAGAAGCTGGTATGGAAGTCCATCAGTTCTGGCCGCTCGTAGAAATCAACTGCTCTGCTGATCTTAAATTTTTCCTGTGTTCCGTTTATACGCCGATATGCATCGAAGAATATCAACGGCCTTTGCAAGCGTGTCGAAGCGTATGTGAACGGGCCCGAGACGGTTGCTTGCCGCTTATGCAGAGTTACGGATTTGTGTGGCCGGAAAAGATGCAGTGTGATAAGCTACCGGTACACGGTGGTCCAGAACTCTGTATGGCCCAAGACGTATATGAACAGCAAGGACCAGCGAAGCCTACAAAGAAACCGACCGGATCAACTGGAAAATGTAAACCTGGCAGCAAGGCAAAGGGATGCGAAAAGTTTATGTTCGACGACGATTGCGAGTGTAAGTGTAGGCCACCTTTGGTACCCATTGAAAAAGAATCGTTGCGGTACAACAGGACTGGAGTGTCTGTGGCGGGTGTAGACAATTGCGCCATGCCGTGCCGAGGCGTTTTATTTACTGAAGACGAAAAAGACTTTGCATCGTCTTGGATTTTTCTGTGGTCCAGTATTTGCTGCGTGACCACCTTGATGACTCTGACTACGTACACGATCGACCCACAGAGATTCAAGTATCCGGAAAAGCCTATAGTGTTCTTGTCAGGCTGTTACTTGATGGTGAGTTTGGGATTTTTGATACGAGTTTATGCGGGCCATGACGCGGTCGCGTGTGAACCCAATGGTTCTGTCAAATACAATGCATCCGGCCCCACACCGTGCACTTTGGTCTTTCTACTCCTATATTTCTTCGGTATGGCTTCTTCCATATGGTGGGTGATACTGGCGTTCACGTGGTTCCTGGCAGCAGGCCTGAAATGGGGCAATGAAGCGATCGCATCTTATTCGCAATATTTCCATTTAGCAGCATGGTTAATACCGACTGTCAAGTCACTCGGTGTGCTGGTTATGTCGGCCGTGGACGGAGATACGTTTGCCGGGGTATGCTACGTAGGCAACCAAAATACTGATAATTTGAAAATGTTCGTGTTAGCGCCGCTAATCGTTTACTTGGCGTTGGGCGTTTCGTTTCTACTGGGAGGCTTTGTTTCGCTGTTTCGCATCAGGAACGTAATCAAACAACAAGTTGGCCGAAGTAAGGCGGACAAGCTGGAAAAACTAATGATTCGCATTGGAGTATTCAGCGTACTTTACACCGTACCGGCATCCGTGGTCATCGGCTGTTACTACTACGAGGCCAGATACATGGCTGATCGAATCGCTCATTTTGCTTGTCCCTGCGCCGACCCTGATCCGGACACCAAGCCCGTGTACACCATGCTAATGCTCAAGTATTTCATGACACTAGTTATGGGCGTCACGTCCGGTGTATGGATATGGTCTGGAAAAACCGTAGGCTCGTGGAAAAGACTGTCGCGACGATTGTTCGGTGGCGGAAGCGGGCGGTCAGCCAAAGGAGGACCTAACCCGGTGTTGATCAATCCGGGAAAGCAGCGAAAACAACTGCAGTACATGCCGGCACCATCCATCCCGGGAAGTACGCTGCCTTCGTCCCATCACTTGGCGCCTTCTTCCAGCCTACACCACCACATTATCAAACAGGCGCCTCTTAGCCACGTATGACATCAGTACGCTACTCCTGCCATGAGTTACGAACAACCAGACCCGTCCGATGACATGATGCCCTCCACTACCGGGCTCAGTGATTACGGACCACTTTAAACTGGTTGGGCAGGATGGCTCTCATAATAAAAAAATTGATCTCTATGTATTCATAATGAACTTAGAAAACCACTGTGTGGCTAGAATAAAACTATTACATAGTTTTACACTAATGCAGTTAGACATCTATAAGCAGAACTTACTATTTCCACAACGAATATCATATAATTGTACCTACCACAATATCTTTCTTTACTGATTTGTAAGCAAATACTTGCAGTGGAACACAGTAGCGTTCATCTCCTCAGGCCTGTAGATTTCTTTTCTGGTGCTTTCCAAACACAATGATTATTATTGTAAATAACTTTAGATGTAAGACGCGTATACTAGTCCTAGTAGTTAAGTTATGAATGTTTTTTTGTTATACTAGCGGTAAGGAACCCTTTAATTTTGTAATTAATATAAAAAGAAAAAACGACTTTCGGTTATTCGGCGATGACTATAATTATATATCTTTTTAACCGTTTTTTTTCTTGTGAAGAACAAAAATGAAAAAATACAGGTTGATTGCTGTAAGAAGCAGTTGTGCAATATACTATTACAGCGTTGTTTTAAAAATACGCCAATTTGTCTAAAATCTAAATGTTTGTAAACTATTATGTTTTTTTTTCTTTTTGACTTGTTAAGTCCTTGTACTGCCCGCTAAAACATACGGTATACGTAACCCTTAAGTGATAATAATAAATAATAATATTAATAATTATATACTCGTAAGTTTGTTTACGTGTATTTTTCGTGTACAAATTATTTATACTATTTATTATAATATTATTATATAATATATATTTATTTATTATATAAATACAACTATGTAGCAAACATATACCTACTGTACATAACATGATTTAAAAATAAAAATTGTACATTTTACGTTTTCCTATTCAGTGTTGCAAACAGGTTTATTTATACCCCAGTTGTAAAAATCCTAGCTAAACGACGGTATTTTAATTTTAATTAATAGACTCCCGGAGACTTGTTTTAATTACAAGAGAGTTTTTTTATTACTAATCAACATAAATAAAAGCGAGTAATCAGAATGTCTCGGAGACTCGTGTTAATTACACCATTAATTATTTAATTTTTTTTTTAAAGTACATGATTTTTAAAAAACAAACTACAGACGACTTGCCAATCAGCGTTGTAATAGCAGTTAAAACGCTGTACAGTTATACAAATCAACTGCATAACGTTTGATGATCTCCACCTATTTCAATATTGAGACGAAATATACTTACCTAACAATGTACAGTTCTCCGAACAAGTCGTCATTAAAACTTTAATTGCAGGTATGTGATCTGGAAGTACTCAACGAAATTATTACTAGCTAATAATGAAAAAAAAGGAAAAGAATCATTCTTTATAAAATACAATTTATTATTTTGAATTAAATGAAAAATTATAAAATACAATTTATTATTTTGAATTAAATGAAAAATTATTCGTTTCCAAAAGTTTGGTCCCGGTACGTCAACGTCTTGTGTTAAATTTAATCCAATTAGCTATGGAAAAGTTTCTTCTTGAGAGCATCCTAACTAGTTCGAGAGCGAGTAAAAGGTTTCCGTCATTTTTTTATGAAGTAAGTACGCAAAGTTTTTTGAACGTGTATGAATGTGTACGCCAGGATTTCTCCTTCTTAGGCATGCAGAACACCAAACATTACATCATGTCGTCGACATGTTTATCTCTTTAACTTTTGTCGTTTTACCAACAAAATAGTATTATCTCTCTTTACCGGTACTCGTTTGAATAAATCGAACGCTGTGCTTATAAATATGTACAAGTTACTGACAGATAATACGGTATTTTTCAGTCTCCAGGTGTTTTTCGTCAAGCAAACTTTTTTTCCACAATTATTATTGACGACCGGCCAATTTCTGGTGCAAAGTTTTAACTTATTTATTTATGTAAATTACACGCTTATACCAAATTTGCAGTTCTATATTTTGTAAAATATATAACACAGCAATTTTCTGCGAACTTTTTTTATATTTACACGAACGCATTACAGTGGAATGATAACGATAATAGAGCGTATACATATACATATATATATATACATGTACATAAGTTATGTTTTATACATACATTTAACGGAGTGTATAAAATATTTTAAACCAAGATTTAACATAAAATAAATTAATGATAAATTAACATTATTAGTGCACTAAATTTAAGGTTTTCCAATACTGTTAAATTTTTATTTAATTATTATCATAATATTAAATCGAACACGGTAATTATAATTGGTTTTAATAGTATTAACACATTAAAATACATTAACATAAAATAGTAATTTAATTTAACAGAATAATGAAGCACTATAGTAAATCGATATAAGTTACTATTTTTATCATATAGTACCTTCTATCCTATAAAAGAATATGTAGTTATATTAACATGCTAGAAACACTAAAATCTATAAATAAGAATCAATTACACGATAATCTAGGTTAATCGTAGTTAACTAATTTTTTGGTTTTTGTCATTGTATAATTAATATATTTTTTTTGGATTCTCTAAAAAAACATTTTGTAACCGTGGTTTAGAAATCTTCTTTAAATTGTTAATTTATTCAATGTATAATAATACAAACCGTGCACTAACAAGACGTTGGTAAATTCTTTAAACATATAACTATCTATATGCTTTTACCACGCTTGCTTCATTTGGTTACAGTCTGTTATTCAAACGTCGAGGTTTGATGTACAGCTCATATTATACACACAGCGATTTTATAATATGTAGTTACAGTAAGTCACGTTATCTAAGTTTCTAACAAAATACAATTGGCGTTCTAGATATATTTTTTATTACTTTCATGTTTGCGAACCGTGCATACTGCATAGAAATTAATTCACACCTTTATATAATTTTATCTCGAAGCCGTAAAGATTACACACCGTTTTTAGAATACACTATTATTTTCATTAATACAAGTGGAATTTTTAAGTTTTTTTTTTTCATTGTTTAGTTTGAATTTATATTATCACCTAACATAACACTGGTTTTATTTGCTTAACTACCATTATGAATTTAACCTTACATAAACAAACGTAAATAAAAGTTGATTTTAATTAGTTAAGTAATAATCAACAGAAAAAAATAATACACTGTTGCAGTAGGGAAACAGTGTATTAGCATAAGATTCCGTATTTCGGTAGCAATAATAAGTAACTACAATTATTCATTAAAAGTATTGTGCAGTCAAGTCAGTTGTTTCTTTGTTTGGAATTATTTATTCGACATATCATTGGTGAAACTATTTTCATTTTTAGTTTTAAAAAATGAAATTTAAGTGGATTGAAAGAGGTATGTTTGATCAAAAACCCTGACAAAATGTCGACTACTAAGGATCCAATTTCAATTTTGTAAGGAAATAATAGTTCAATAGCTACTTTACTAAGTTATATCGAAAATGGGTTTTTGCTTTTTTATGTAAAAAAACTGTTTTTTAATATTGAGCAATTTTCAAATAAAATGTAATACAAGAAACTGATTCTTTTTTATAAAAATCGGTTTCTTACATAGCCTATTAAAGTAGTTTGGAGAATTAGTATTTTTTTACAGAATTGAAAGCGGGTTATACTAAGTAGGCATAACTTTGTCAGGCTTTTAGGTCTAAAATACCACTAAAATGGCGTTTACCCATTGAAAACATTTTACAAGTTAAAAGTAATACGTTGAAGCTTATACAAATTAATCTGTAAATAAATTGACATAAACATGAACAAAATCAATTTTTTCTTAGTTATTGCCTAAATAAAACTCCTTAAAACCTGTCCGCTTTCAGTCTCCTTAATTTGTTTTAATATCTTTTTATAAAATAACGTATAATACGTAAAAAAAAGAAACATAATTCAAGTTTTTATGAGTGTTACTGTATTGACTGTTAATGTTTTCATAAGTTAGTTTATTTTATTACTATTAAACCCGTAAAATACATTGTAATAATAAGATGGCAAAACGTACGTATATATATTAAACGTAATAGTTTATTTTTTAAAACAAATTTGATTTATAAGTTAGCTTTTAAAATGTTGATAGCTAGTTGGGTTTCATGTAATACTAACACCTATTAGTACAATTTACATAAATTTGATAATAAATGTATGATACTCGTTACACGTTGTAATAAGTATAATTTTGTTGATTTATAATAATTGTAGAAACTTAATAAAGATTACTACTTACTTTTTACCATTTACAGTTGATGTATTATAAATAACACTAACATATCCCAATGCATAAATTTATTCTTTTAGAAACTGTTCGAATATTATTAGTATCCTATGACTAATGTTCCAGCAATTTAGCACATAAAACGTGCAATCATCATCAAACACATACGGATGATAAATTATTATTTATTATGCAAACGTTCTTATACGTAGTACGACTTGTAAGCAACGCGCATATATTATTTAGGCTATTTTAGAGTACGATTGATCATAATACATTAACTACTGCTGTCAATAATCTGAAAAAAAACATCTACATCGTTATAATACTTTTTTGAATAAAATCTTAAGCCATTTTAGCATATTTTATTCAAATCGATTGGGTAACGTAGCATAAATCAAATATGTCAAATGGTATTTTTTAAATGTACTTACCTATTGATTTTTATTAGGTACCAGATCCAGATATCAGATTAAAAAAAAAATATCAAACATTTACTGGTTTTAAATCGAATTACAAATCAACTAGGTGTAGCAAGAACATAAAAAAGTCCATTAACACCTTATTTTTAAATAAGTATAATGTTATTGATTTTTTTGTAAATTAATTAATAGTATTTTATTCATAGATTCTATAGATATGTACTTTTTTATTCTAAATAGGATTAACACAAATTATTACTATAGGGCTACCCCTAGTATAAAATATAATTGCAAAACATTAAATTAATTAATAATATGTATTTTTTACTCACAAATGACAGACTATAATAACGGTTAGATTAAAAACCGTTTTTGTAATGTTAAATTTTCGTTTGCTAATACGGTTAAGATATTCAATTTGATATTATTATTTTTTAATTCAAATGGACTCATTTTAGCGTAAAAATAGTAACTATGTTTGAATAATTTTACTTATAAATTAATAGCGTATAGAACTCACAAATAAACTATTTTTGTTCTGTTTTGAAATTGAAAATCAATTAAAATTGTTTATAATAATTACTTAAATTTATTAGACCGCAAAACAGTTCAACTCCAGTATTTCTTATTTTTATGAAGAAAATAGAGCATTTTAAATGTATTCCTATTATGGTTAGTAATATCAGAAACGCTTATTATTATAAATGATCGATAACAATCATTGTTCTCTTTGAATACAAATTCCATTTTACAAATTTCATATTTAGTTTCTGTTTGTAAAACAAGTTTTCCAAAAGTTATTGTTTTTGTATTCTTTGATAAAAAAGGAAGAATATATTAATATTAAAATATAATATTGGATCAACATCACGACGGCATAACTTAGTCGAGACAAAGCTTAAATAATAAAAAAATGCATTTATTTTAATGTAGTCGATTTAGTTACCTAATCTTCAACACCTTAATAAATGTCGTAACAGACATCCTTTAACAAGTACTCGTATTTAAAAATGTTATAAATTACTTGATAAACGCAGACTGTCTAATAGACATTAAAGACATTAGACTAGGAACTGTAAACAATCTAAACAAAAATCTGAAAGGAAAGCTTAAATAAATAAATTAAAAATTTATATTTATGTACTCAATCACTATTTTTATACCTGTATAATTATATAATAGAATTATGTTAGTATTTGAAGTGGAGGGAGCAAACCCAGTGATTGGAAAATC